AAGTGGAGACTTGCACTAAACGGATCATTTGAATCAGTGAGTTGTCGACTCGAGAACAGCTGCAATCGGATCATTCTAATTCGTGAATTAATCGTTTGGTGCGATTTGCGAACCGATTTAATGGGTTCAATAAAAAGAATCAGTTCGTTCATGAATCAGACACCTTTTCTGCGTCTCGGAGCACGTGATATATTATAAGGAGTAACGATAAGTTTTATGAAATGTAGTGAAGTAAAAAGTACGATCTTATGCTTTGGAATGTAGTAAAGTAAAAGTTACGCAAAATAAAACTACTCCAGTAAAGTACAGATACTTGAAAAATGAAGTAAAACTACTTTGTTACTGTCCACCTCTGATCACATCAACATTGTAAAGCATATTCATCAAAAACTTAAGAGAAAACAAAATAAATTATCATGCGATGTGATAAAATAACTTCCCGTCCCTGCAAACGATACAGTGAAGAATGAATAAATGTTTAAATTAAAGGCAAAAACAACAACAACAAAAAAGTTAAGCAGTTATCCGTATTGAGAATGAGAAGTAACCATAGGAACGGATAGCGTATCCTGCTAATATGGCTGCGCCTTCCCGAAATGCAACGCGGAGTGAAAAGATTGTGACGTAACTCCTCATAGTAAACCACAAAGTGCAGATGTACATGCAATATCATCAAGCAGTATATACATTTTACTTAAGTATTAAGACATTAAGTATACATTAAAAATCAAGTACTTTTGTACTTTCACTCGAGTAAGATTGAAATGGTGTAATTCATACTTTTATTGGATTAATATTTTATTATACGTATCTGTACTTTTATTTGAGTACTTGACTTGTGTACGTCGTCCACCACTGCCATAGAGCTGTTGAAAAATATAGATGGAGCAGCAAATAATGAGGGACACTTTTCTTTCAACAAAAGGTATGTTAGATAATGTTGTAGTTGATCAAACATATTTAATAGTTCTCCTTATAGAAACATGGGATTTGTGTCTGTTTTAAAAATTATATTGATCAATGATCAATGTACTTCATTCATGAAAAGTTTCAGGGAAATATAGTTTATAAAATTGCATCAAAAGGAACACAATTTTGTATAGAAATTGTCTTTACACTGTTACACCAGGGTTCACTTGTATGTACTTTAACATTTCTCTGCCCCCCCCCCAAGTTACTGACAAATTAACTGTCTTTTCTTTTATTTTAGAGTTTATTGAAGAAAGTGAGGAGAACAAAGATTTGAGTGAAGTTGAGGAGAAAAATCATGCCAAAACTGGAGAAAAAACTTTGAGTTGCTCTCAAACCAAACAGAAAGATTTAAAGAAAAGAAGAACCTGCACTCAGTGTGGAAAGAGTTTGACAAGCAAATATAACCTTGATGTTCACATGAGAGTTCATACTGGAGAGAATACGTGCACTTGTGATCAATGCGTGAAGAGTTTTGCACAATCATCAAGCCTTAAGATACACATGAACATCCACACTGGAGAAAAACTGCACACATGTGATCAATGCGGCAAAAAGTTTTTGAGGGGTTCAAACCTGAGGACACACCTAAGAGTTCATACAAAGGAGAAGCCACATTCATGTCATTTGTGTGGAAAGAGTTTTTCATGTCTGCAATATTTAAAAGTACATCAGAAAATACATACTGCTGTGAGAGAGTACATGTGCTTTGAGTGTGAAAATACTTTTACTTCAGAGACCTGTTTAAAACAGCATGAGAGGGTTCACACTGGAGAAAAACCTTATAGGTGTTCACACTGCAACAAGATATTCAATAAGTCAGGAGACCTGAAAACACATGAGAGGATCCACACTGGAGAGAAACCTTATAAGTGTTTACGCTGCGACAAGAGATTCAGTCAGTCAGCAAATCTGAAAACACATGAGAGGATTCACACTGGAGAGAAACCATACATATGTGATCAGTGCGGGAAGAGTTTTGCACTAAAAGGAAACCTTATGGGGCATATGAACATTCACACTGGAGAGAAACAGATTAAACAGTACAATGAAACGTGGTATTATATACACAAAATATATGCATTTGTTAAATTTATTTCTAGTTGGTTGATTTGATAAATTTTTGGCTTTACGTTTCTGTTCATAAAGATGCATGATAAGAGTGTTTATACCATCTGCACTGTGATTGGCTGGATTAGTTCCACCTTGTCATTGTGTCGCTCACATTACGAGATGACGTGGCGATAATATCAAACAGGTTTGAAAATATCGTAGCGTCTGTGATAGCTCGAGACAGGTTCGGATCACGTTGCAGACCTGCTCATACTTAACGAGCTTCGGCAACCGCAACGAGCACCGATTTGGTCACAATCCGGGGGTTTTGTCGCAGACTGTGGAAATCTGTCCGCGACAGCACAATCCAGCCAAAAATCCTGTAGTGTGAGCCCGGCTTAAGCTGTCGGCCAAGGGCCAGCTATAGGTTTGAGGCCCGTGCAGGGCTCTACCTGATTTCTGTGTTTGGAAACGAATGTTGTGAATCGGGTTGTTTTATAATTAAATGACAAAATTGTTAAGTTATATTGTGTTGTCTAATTCAATTATTATTATTATTATTTTTTACATTTTACGGATTCCCCCAATCTCTCGCATGGCCAAACTCTGTATACGAAACCGTATTATTATCAGTATTATTTATTTATTATTATTTTGTATTTTTAAAAATAGATTAATTATTATTTAAACACGTTTTAATTAATACAAAGGAACGATAAAAAGTGATAAATGTTTTGAATTCATGGACAGAATTTTCGGCATGTCATGGGCTCTGTATAGGGGAATAAAATGTTAAAATAGGCCAGATAACGATTAAGTATGTGTGACCTGCTGAAATAGGCTACATCGGCAAATTATTAAATGTAAGTTTCAAGCCTTTCATAATTTGTGACATTAATGTGACTACAGTGCCAAAATATGTGTTAGAACTAGGCCTGGTTCTTTTTTTATGGTGTGAGTCAGAGTAAATTGCGACGCGAATAAAGTCTCATGAACGTGCAAGCCTTGTACAGAGAGGACCAACGACCAAGGTCAGGATTTTTCGTTTAAAAAAAAGCGTTCATTAGCCTGTAGATCAAAATGAAAGCCCCTTAATAGGAAGACGTGGACAACAGGGACTGTCAGTACTGCAGAAAGAGTTGGAGGTAATTAAACAGTACAATGAAACGTGGTATTATATACACAAAATATATGCATTTGTTAAATTTATTTCTAGTTGGTTGATTTGATAAATTTTTGGCTTTACGTTTCTGTTCATAAAGATGCATGATAAGAGTGTTTATACCATCTGCACTGTGATTGGCTGGATTAGTTCCACCTTGTCATTGTGTCGCTCACATTACGAGATGACGTGGCGATAATATCAAACAGGTTTGAAAATATCGTAGCGTCTGTGATAGCTCGAGACAGGTTCGGATCACGTTGCAGACCTGCTCATACTTAACGAGCTTCGGCAACCGCAACGAGCACCGATTTGGTCACAATCCGGGGGTTTTGTCGCAGACTGTGGAAATCTGTCCGCGACAGCACAATCCAGCCAAAAATCCTGTAGTGTGAGCCCGGCTTAAGCTGTCGGCCAAGGGCCAGCTATAGGTTTGAGGCCCGTGCAGGGCTCTACCTGATTTCTGTGTTTGGAAACGAATGTTGTGAATCGGGTTGTTTTATAATTAAATGACAAAATTGTTAAGTTATATTGTGTTGTCTAATTCAATTATTATTATTATTATTTTTTACATTTTACGGATTCCCCCAATCTCTCGCATGGCCAAACTCTGTATACGAAACCGTATTATTATCAGTATTATTTATTTATTATTATTTTGTATTTTTAAAAATAGATTAATTATTATTTAAACACGTTTTAATTAATACAAAGGAACGATAAAAAGTGATAAATGTTTTGAATTCATGGACAGAATTTTCGGCATGTCATGGGCTCTGTATAGGGGAATAAAATGTTAAAATAGGCCAGATAACGATTAAGTATGTGTGACCTGCTGAAATAGGCTACATCGGCAAATTATTAAATGTAAGTTTCAAGCCTTTCATAATTTGTGACATTAATGTGACTACAGTGCCAAAATATGTGTTAGAACTAGGCCTGGTTCTTTTTTTATGGTGTGAGTCAGAGTAAATTGCGACGCGAATAAAGTCTCATGAACGTGCAAGCCTTGTACAGAGAGGACCAACGACCAAGGTCAGGATTTTTCGTTTAAAAAAAAGCGTTCATTAGCCTGTAGATCAAAATGAAAGCCCCTTAATACAACATAAGGAAATTGTGTAATTTTAATGGTTTTCATAATGACTGTTTAATAACCATAACATGCAGTAAAAAGCCTTTGTGTAAATTTAATTCTTTTTTTTTTTTTTTGATGCGTTAGGCTGCAGCCTATACGATATCTCACATTTTGAAATTGACTTTCTAAAAATTTATTTTAAATACATTTTCTAATGATTTTTAAGGATGTTATAATGTTATATTATAAAGTTATTTTAAGTTTTATTTTGTTTTTTGATCTCAGTTTACAAAACAAAATATAATTCCAGTCAGTTTGCAAACTGTCCCTTTGCGTCACCTGGCGGTAGTTTCGTGAACGACTTTAGCAAGCGACTGACTTGCAGTTAACGCCGTAGCCCTGCGGCGGCGTTAATAGGCATTTTGGTTGTCCACCTACTGTACCTCCCCTCCCCAGGAAACCCTGAAAGACCTACCTGTGAGATAAGATTCAAACCAGTGGAGTGCAGATCCTGTGATGGTAGACAGGAGAATCTGATGAATTACATTGTCAAAAGTTGCAGACAGATCCAGCCGAATGAGAACTGATCATTTGGAATCAGATTTCACTATCTGCAGGGCTATAGTGACAAACAAACTATACAAGTGTACAAAGTTTCATGCTTTTATGAAAAAGTGAACATTTCACCTCAAATTTTGCACATATCACCTGGACTAACAGTGTGTTATAAGATATTGAAGATTTGTTATCGTGTGTTTCTTTTTCGTTGGTTGCTATTGTATTATTTTCTTCTGCATTGTTTTGTTAAAATTGTATTGGTGTTCTTTTTCTTTTATGTGTCTTTGAGCTGTGCTTCTTGTTTTGTGTATTAATAAGTGACCAGTATTACTATTTTCTCTTTCTTTCTTTCTCTCTTTCTTTCTTTCTTTCGGTATTGCTTCTATTAGCTATTTTGGTATTGGTGGGTTGTTAATTTGTCTAATTGTGTGAGTGAGAAAAGTTTCTAATTGATGTGCATTAATTGATTGTTTACTGTTATGGAGTGACTGTGGTTTTATAAATAGTGTGGTGCCAATTCTGAGAGCAGTGTATAACCTAATTTTGTTTGTTGCAGGAGCTGAGTTCCTAAAGTGGGGGTGGATTTCTTGTGGCGGTCTTTCCTTCATGAGTGCTGTGTTATGCGTGGTGGTGTGTAGGTGTGTGTGTGTGTGTTTATGCACAGGTGTAAGGGAACAGTGACTTTCTGTGGAGGCCTTGTTGTGCCCTTTATTCCCTTCTGCACTCTGAATTCGGATGTCTGAGACTACTCAGGTCACTCTTGTTGTATTTCATTATATTGTGTAACTAAACTGTTTGTGATTTTCTCTTCTCCTCTGTGCTTTTGTTAAACATCATCTTTAATAAAATGTATTTTCTTTTATATATACGTCTCCTGCTGCGTCACTGTGAACGAACCTGTGTTGCCTCAAGAGGAAATTTATTATATAGTCCCTGGTGAAACTCCAGGGTGGCAAAGTCGCCTGGTGTTAAATCTCTTAAACCCTCTGTTCTGCCACAAAAGCATAAAACTTTATTCAGATTTCAGAATGTGTACTTTGTCGTGTGTAATACATAGGTTGAGGATCTCGTCCATCTGATGTTCATCTAATATTCGCTACAGATATGAATATGATACGTAACTTTTTAATACACAAGGGAAATTCCCAATATTAAACAAATAACCAAATTTGCATGCTTAGGGCGTTTGTGTTGTAAGAATGTACAGGAATACTTCAGATATAAAAACACTGACTTGTTATGTGATGTTTTCTCATTAAATCGTACGATTTCCTATCAATTCAATAGAATGTATGGGAATTAGAGCTGCACGATTCTGGATAAATTGAGAATCACGATTTTTTTTTGTCTCAAATAGAGATCACGATTCTCCCACGATTCTCCCACCTAGTGGCGAAACAATGCAATCGACACAAACGTTATGTGGCAGTTACTTTCAAACGCGGATTTGCTCTATTTTGGTCGCGCTACCATAGACATCAATGTTTATATCTGAATTATAAACTTTCATCCCAGTATTTCTGTGATAATATGAATGACTGTAGGACAGAAATAATACTGTGTAGTTGAAAAGACTGTTTGTGAAGCTGTTTCTTAAGCAAACATGGTAACTGCTCTCTGTCTGTCAGCGGCAGTGCGAACGCAGATTTGAATGATCCGGTAAGACTTTGTCAAAAGTTTAATAGACACGGTAGAATCGTTGTCATTTAGAAATGAGATCGTGTGGTTGTCTGAATCGAGATCTTTTAACGATTAATTGTGCAGCTCTAATGGGAGCACTAGGGAATAGCAATATGGCGGTGCTGTGGCTTCGCTTCTATGATGTCATGAGCAATCCAGTTCTCTAGTATAGATCAGTGGTGGAAACTTAATAATAAATAATGTATTACTACAGTCATGTGGACTTAACAGACACATGCATGCAGCAGCCATAAAGTCCTCAAGACACATCAGATTTTAGTCCAGGGCTTGTTTAATACCAGGTTCAGATACCCATCCCTTCTTACAAGAGAAGCAAATAAGGATCAGTTGCAAAGCTACATGACAGTATTTCTTGCATCTGCGTTTTCTGAGTACATCATATGTGGAAGAATAACTAGTCATTTTATAAACAATAGTGAAGAAAAAGGTTAAAAAAATAAATCTCCGCTCTCTTAAAAGTGTTACAGCCTCTTCTTCAGCTTCCTG